GCGGAGGGGTCCCAGTGCCACGGCCGCTCCCCCAGCACCCCGGCCCCAGCCGCAGCATCAAGTACGAGCCAGCCCCGGACGTGCCAGCGCCTCCGACCGCGCCGATGCCGCCGATCAAACGGCACAAGCCCACGGTGCCGGTGAGGTGTTTTCTTCTGGCAGCTCTTTGCTTGTTGCTGAGACAGGAGGGAGGTGGAGGGCGTCAAATCGGTCCCGTTTGCTGGGGTCTGGCCAGCAAAATGGAGCCGAAATGGGGCTTTGGGAACACTAAACCCATCAGAAACTGCTGACAAGTTTTCCTAAGAAGTGAAGGAAGGGGGTTTAAAAGGTTTAAAGGCAAGCTTTCTGTGAGGATGTTTACTTGCTCTGTCCTAACCATCTCTGTTTCCTGACAAGCCAGGCTTCTTATTTGATTTTCAATTGAAACACTTAAAAACCCAAGTGAAATAAGGGGGTTTTTCCCTCTCTTTCCTCTCCATTTCCCCCCTCTAACAGATACAAACAGGGTTTATGGGGAAATGCCTCTTAGAGCCATCACAGCTGCTCCCCCTGGCAGCCTCAGGAGAGAAGCCGGGTCTTGAACGGAGACAAAACGGGGCTGTTTCTGTGTCCCCTCTGCCCTAGGTCTCCCTCACTGCCTGTCCCCATGCTCGCTGCCCTCCTCTACCCTGTTTTATAGCTGGAAAAGGCCACTTGACCTGACCCCTCTTTCAATATTGGCGTTCTCCTCTGTGGCAATGGCTGGCTGTCTTTTCTTCAAAGTAGGAAACTTTAGATTTCATAGTCCTACTCGAAACATAAATGGTTTAATGATAGAGACAGTGATGTGAAGTGAGGGAGGAAATGTTGCTTTCCATCACCTTAAATCTGAGTTGTGCCCTGTTTTTTAAGAAATCACATCTCATCCAGCCGCTTGAGAGCTTTAGGAGGTGAATTACTGAAAACCCGCAGTCCAAACCATCGGACGCACGAAAGGCCAGGTTATTTATATGTGGTTGCATTAGACACAGCGTAATTAAGGAAAGATTAAATGCCTGTGTGTGTTTATACCCTAAACAGCTGTTGCAACTAATTACTAACCCATCACCCACCCTGCTCCGCTGCTGTTACAGGTGGATCCCGCCTCGTGCTCGGGCGATGACCCTGTGTGCAGGGTCATTTCTGGAGGTGGCTTTGTAACAGAAACCTAAATACACCTGATAGACACCATGGGCCCAAACGGGGCGCTGGGGTTGCACCCTCCTCCCCGAGCTGCTGTGTCACCTCTCTGCAGACAGCGCTGCCGCTTGCTTGGCTGGTCAAGGACGAGCGTGGCATTTCTTGCTGGAGAGATGAGCAGGATTCCCGGGGAAAGGAAGCTGCTTTTGCTCACTTTGCCTCATGAACCCTCCTGAGTGCTCTTTGATCTGTAGCCACAGCTGAGCCTGGATTTAATTAAGTCCGATCTCCTTTAATGCCCAAGGGGGTTTGTTCCTTGTATGGGAATTTTCCTTTTCTGGGGAGAGCAAGGTAGCGGTCGGCATTTGAAAGCTCATTTAATGTTGTTCCATGAGCTGGAGCAAGAAAACCATCTGCTTTTTTCTCTTGCAGTCCCTCAGCCCCTATGCCTGCCTTCCCCCTGCCTCCACGCCTGACTCCACACCTGCTCGACCTCTCAGTTCCCACAGATCCCAGCCGGATTCGGCAGCCGACCTGCTCTCGGCGCTGAGCCAAGAGGAGCGAGACCTCATCGAGCCCGTTATAGCCCTGGGCTACCCCACCCGCAAAGCCATCCTCACCCTCCAGAAGACCGGGAAGCAAAGCTTAAGTCAGGTTGGTGGAGCTGGCACGGTAAAGATTTGGTGAAGAAAAATGTGATTTTCTTGGAGAAGGGGATGGCTGTCTGGCTTGGGATGTGGAATTCTGATGGCCATGGGTTTCCCACTTGGGTGTCAGAGCTCAGTTGACAGGGTTTTCCGTGAGATCACGTCTGCTCTTTTGCTGTAACAACACAGCAATGGGTTGCCCTCCGCTTGTCACCGAGCAATAAGAGCAGGGTAATGTTATCCGTGCGATCTGTTGAATGGCGTGGGGTGCCCTTTTGAAGTGGAAGTTTTGCCCCCGTATATGGAAACCTTCTGCACATCATTTTTTTCCTGGCTGTTAGATTCTTATGTTGATTGCCGTGGCTCATCCTGCCAGAGTGGGACTGTCGGTATAGCGCAGAGATTTGTCTGGGCTCTCTCCAAAACTCAAGCTTCCCGCATTGGAGCAACCAGGGACTCCATGAAAGCATTGTGGCTGGGTCCCAGAGCTCTTTTCCTGAGGAACCCTCTACAATAATCTGGGATTTATTGAAAATAATTAACATAGAACCTCTTCCTACCCCTGTAGGAAGCCCACTGTGCTGCATCCCAGTTCCCGAGGTCTCAGATGAAGCCCCTGTGGTCCAGGTGGGATTGGAGCGTGATGCTCTTGAAGGATGATGCTAGCTCTGACCCTCCAGCTTGGGGCTGGACCTGTGGAGGATTTAATAGGGCTAAATTATCCAAGTAGCTCTTGCAGAGAAGGGGGCTTGATGGCAGCTTAGCAAGAGGGATGTCCACCGGGCTGTCGTGCCAGGGAGCAGGAGCAGACCCCGAGCAGAGGTGGGAGCAGGCACGGCACCGAGCAGCCACTGTCAGTGCCGGTCTCCTTCCCGTGCTCCTGGGGAGCTGCCTGTGCTGCGTGGGCCTGCTCTTACCCGCCTGGTCGGCACATGAAGCTGCTCCGCGGCTGAGTCATCCCGCAGCTTCTGGCTCTCTCCTGAGTCAGCCCCGGCTGGACCAGCCTCCCCGGAACCTCACTGGTGTTCCAGGCGAGCATCGCTGCAAGCCGAGGTGGGGAGGGAAGCTTTATTTCTTCAATTCCTAAAGGTTTCATCTAGGCAGAGGGAGATGGGCAGAGCCCAGCCCACGTTCAAGCCATGCAAGGGCATCTTGGCTTCAGTATGAAGCAGTACATCTTATTAAGGGTGGAAATGGGTACAGGCTGTGCCCATCTCTAACAACTCTGGGACTCCTGTTCCCTTGGAGGAGAGATAAATGCACCAAAATAACAGGTCTGCCATATGTCCTGTGCCTTTTTCACCAGCAGTTCCCCTCGTTCCTGTTTATGCCCAGTACAGCCAAGATAAAAGGCAAAGCCTAGCCCTTTGTGCATCTCTTACAAGCACAAACCCACCAAATTAGGCTAAACCTTCCTGGAAAATACGTTTCAACTCCAGTTAAAAACAAGAGCCGTGGGCGCTTGTTCACTGCTTGCCGGTGTCAGGCGGGGTTTCAGCATGTGACGATGACAGCTTCAGCTCTGAAGATTGACTGTAGTACCAGATGGTGGCCAAAAATTGCTCCATTCCTTCGCAGCATCGAGTCGAACTGGCAGAGCCCACCCTGGTGGAGAAGGCCTTAAGGAGGTGGGGCCTTCTTAATTTTGCTGGAAAAGCCTCTCTCAAAGGCTCAAGCAGGGCTTAGTTGGCCCAGCGCAGCAGAGGTTCATCACCTGGGATGTCGTGGCCGAGGGCTGAGCCAAAAAAGCATCGTTGCGTTGTGGTCAGCGGTCGTTGATCGATCAAAAATGCATCGTCGATCCATGGCGCTCTGGGTGTACGTGTGAGCTGAGACGTGACGGACGGCGTTTGCCACGGGACGCAGCCCGCTGCGCCGGCGGCCTCCTGGCCACGCACAGACGGGGAGCCTCTTCCTACGGGCTGTTGGACTCGAGCGAAGTCAATAATACAGCAAAATATACGCTGAGCTGTGCTTCCATAATGTGCTCCTGACCCTTTTCTCCTCCAAAAGAACGTTGTCTTACCCCAAGCGACGATCTTCAGCGCTTCCTACAGGCCTTGTCCCCACCGGTGGTGAGGTGGGCCCGGGAGCCTCTCCAATGCTTGTTGCCTTCTCAGTGGCGACGCTTGCGGCAGGGAGTTGAGCGGGGGGGTCTGCTGCGGTGCTGGCTGGGGTCTCCCTGTCGTCCGGAGACCCTCTGTCCCTGGAGGCTCCGCGCTTGAGGGCTTTAGCAAGTCATAGTATTTAAAAACCTGGTTTTGTTTAGTCTTCAGGGTGTATATATATATATATATATTTTTAGTGATTGCCTTCTCAGTGGCGACGCTTGCGGCAGGGAGTTGAGCGGGGGGGTCTGCTGCGGTGCTGGCTGGGGTCTCCCTGTCGTCCGGAGACCCTCTGTCCCTGGAGGCTCCGCGCTTGAGGGCTTTAGCAAGTCATAGTATTTAAAAACCTGGTTTTGTTTAGTCTTCAGGGTGTATATATATATATATATATTTTTAGTGATAAAAATCATTGAGTTGACAAGAGCCCCGATTTCATTCTGGGCTGGACCAGCACGCCGGGCTGCCGGGGCTGTGCCCACGGCTCTCCTGCTGCGACAGGGCAGGAAAATACGGCAGTGCCCCGGGGGGTTTAGTCAGTAAGGTAACGAGGGACATAAAACCAGGTTACGGATGCCAGTGACCAAGCACTGTCTAATCTTTGAGCTGCTCCTTAAGGCTGGCGTTTCTTGAAGTTCCTACTCTGCTTTTTAGCCAAACCAGATCAGCTCAACGTTTGAGGGGCTTTTTTGGCTTTTTCATATATGTTTTATGGTCTTTTACTTGAATCCTTTGCTACGGCGCTGCCGGGGAGGGTGGAGGTCTGCACGCTGGTGGATCTGGGGAGGTAGGAATCAGCTTCTCCTTGGATGAAGACGGTACGGCTTCGGGGAGACCCGTGGGATGATTTTATTCCCCCTGCTATTGTATAGCTCATTTGTTACTGTCTGTCCCATATGTTTTTGGACAGTGAATGATTCTCGTATTTAAAAGATACCGCTGGGAATAGTGCTGTCAGCACTCCAACAGCAATGAGGAAAGCCAAAAATAACTGTTTACTCTCAGTAATGACAGCACACAGGTCTCCCCTGGGGTGGGTTTTGTGCTTGGACCCTGGAGAAGGACCCACAGGCACCCGAACCCTGGCACATCAGAGGGATGCGGGGTCGACCGAGGGCGGCTGTCTCACCGGGACGGGCTCCGCTTCGCCCCCCCACCGGGAGGTCATCGCTTTGCATCTCGGATGGTTCAGTCGCTTGGTTTGCTCCTCGTCCTCCCTCTGCCTTGTTCCTGTTCCCACCCTGGGAGGGTGTTGAGAGCCAAGACGTCTTCTTGCAGTGGGAGTCCTGCTGGTGGACAGACCGCCCTGGCCGAGCATCGGACGGGAGCTGCAGGACAGTTGTGCTCCCCACGGGCCTGTCCCTGGAAGGTGGCAGGGTGAGCTCCTGCATGCACTTAGACACCATGTCTGCGAGGTTGGATTAACCCTGGTTGTCTTCTTCTGCAGTTCCTGAGCTACCTGGCTGCCTGTGACCGGCTGCTGAAGCAGGGCTACGAGGAAGGGCAGGTGGAGGAGGCCATGGAAATGTTCCAGTACTCGGAGAAAAAGGTCAGAGCGAGGCGGCACAGTCTGGCCCTTTGTGCCTTGTCTTCCAGGCTCGCTTCTCCAGCGGGCTGTACGCTCCCCTCCTCCCCTGCTGCCCCTTGCGCAGCCCCCCGGGGGGGTCAGACCCACTGCCCTGCAAGCAGTGAGCCCACACTCACGGCAGACCCCCGGGTGACCCCCAGGAATGACACCCACCCATCGCTCTTCTCCATCCATCCTCCCACTGTGCAAGCCTGATGCTCGCTCAGCCCCTGCAAGGGGAATCCCAAATCCACCAGCAGCCTCGTCACTGCCTCCCTCCTGGTCCCCCTTTCGCATTCGCTCCCGCAGCGTGGAAGAACCATGGTGGCACGCTGGGTGCTGGTCTCCATCACCAGTTTCCTCCTGGGAGTACTGAAGAGCTGGGGTGGGAGAAAAGCTGCCTGTGACTCGGGCTGGCGATGTTTGACGTGATGCCAACGGCATGTGTTCTGCCGGCTGGCCGCTCGTTAGGGCTGGGGCAGCGGGAGGGTGCCCGGATCCCGGTGTCGGGCAGGGGGTTATTTACTGAGGGTGCAGCTCTGGGAGATGTCACGGTGCTGGGGCCCAGCCTGAGCAAGGGGGGAAGCAGGACAAATGAATTCCAGCTTGCACTCGCTGCCGTTCCCCGGTCTCTTTAATAACACAGGCAAATACTTGCGTGGAAATCAGACTAAACTTTGTAAGGAATAAGTGAAGCTAGAGGCTGACTTTATTACGTATTCCTTATTTAAAAAGCTGATGTAACAGCACACTTTTACACACTGGCAATGGTATGTGTGCCCTCTCTGCAGCTGGCAGCAGCACCGAAGTGTCCTTCAGCAGTAATACAACCTGGCCCGGTCATCTGGCTGCGGCCTTGTCACCCAGCGCCGGTTCTGCTGCGACTGTGTGACAAACCCACCCTTAAAACCCCACGGTCACCACTCCTTTTTCGTCCTTCCTCCTCCAGGCAGCTGAATTCCTGCACCTGCTAGCTCAGTTTAACGATATGGGCTTCCAGCAAAATGAAATCAAGGAAGTCCTCTTGCTTTGCGGGAATCAGAGGGAGAAGGCGCTGGAAGAGCTCGTGATGAAAACCCACTGACCAGCCCCCTGGACCCCCGTCACGGTTTCCTCTCTCCAGACCGGACACCGAGGGACTCGGGTGGGTCGGCACATGCTTACCCTTCCGCTGCTCCCTCCCCACCCTGAGCAGCGTGGCTCGCCGGGCACCGACCTCCGGAGCACCGGCTGGCTGTCTCCTTGTTGGACATCCAGCGTCAGCCTGTTTGTCACCACGCTAAGGCAAAGGCTTGCCAGCAGGAGCCTTTATCTGCCCACCCACACACCCTCGAGCATCTCCGCTGCACCGATCCGACGTGATCAGGTCCAAACCGCCTTCGGCTTCCAGTTTGCAAAGCCCAAACCACAGTTTTCTCCCTCCGCCTGGGGTGAGGGGTGTCGTGTTTTCGACTGTGGATTCCTGAAAGATTATATAAATCAAGGGAAGAGGTTGTTTTCGTAAAAACTGATGGCTCCTGCAGAAGTGTTTGTCGGTCCTTGCTTGGGAAGAGTCTCGGCTGACTCGGTCGTGGGTGAAAACTTAAATGAAATCCAGTCTGATCACATTAGCTTCTCCTTTTAAACCAGGAACTTGACCAAAAGACACAATTCAGCGAGGGTAAGGAAAGAAAACAGGCTGCCCTTGCTCTGGAAACACATGTCATTTATCCAGTGCAATTAAAAATGGCTCAGGGAATTTTATGACATCAGAAGAGATGGGGAACAGCTCGGCTGCGCTCGCGCTCTACCCAAATCAGGAAAATTCAGGGGATGCTTCCCTAAACCATGGAGATGGTGGCTCCAAGTGAAGTTAAGCACAAAATGTCAGGGAAATCTGGATGCCGCGGGGGAATTCTTGTACGTAGTGAAGGACAGATTCAGATCACCTCACGGGGTGTGTCTCCTGGCCTGGCAGTGGCAAGGGGGATGTGTTGTCACGTAGGAGTTTGTTCTTCCCCCGTGAATCAGATGCAGCCGTCATTTCTTTGAGTAACGATGCTTGGAGGGGTTCTTCTGGAATGCACTCCCATCTTTTCCTGTGCAAATGCCAACTGGCACAACCTAGCAGAGAAAATCCTTAATTAGCCGTGTTAGGATCATTTTTCCATTGAGTCCTTCCAAACGATCGCCCAGCCCGACGTGCTGCCGTCGGGCGAAAACACCGTGTCCCTTCTCCCTCTAGCTGGGTGCCACCGGTGGGAGGGCACAGCCCTCCATCCTTCCGCAGATGCAACAGGGAAACGTGGCATCCAGGTTTTGGGGGACCTGACCCATCCGTACCCAGGATGCTTTGTACCTTCTCCTCTTCGGTGGCGTTGAAAAGGAAACCGGGACACCTTGTATGGCCAAGGGAGATACTCGCAGGGAGCCCACGGGCTCTTCTTGCAGCTCCCAGCCCTGTTTTCCCTCCAGCTTTCCCTTAGTTACACAAAGTTTTATTTTTGATACGGCCCTTATAAGGCAAGTCCGCTCTGCAGACGGCTTGTCGTTAGGTTCGTCCCTGCCAAGGTGACGTCACCTTAAAAGCGACACTTGCAAAAGGTTAAGCCGCGATTGGAACGATCGCTTTGCTTCCCACTGCGATCTCTGGTGGGGGTGAACGCCGTGACGGCTGAAAGGGGAGGATAACGGCGCCGCGCTGGTGCCGGTCACGTCGAGGGCCAAACTCTGCTGGAGCGACGGGCGTTCGCGTCGCGCCC